GGTTCTCATCGGCAGCATACTGATCAACACTGCTTCAATCATAGAGACTATATCAACAGAGTTGTGACGAATTAGGCCCTTCTGATTCCTAATTGGCACTAGCCATTGAGGCTCGAATTCTATGGATCTTTAGAGTCATCATAATTGTGAGAAGTTGTCTAGATTGGCGTCAGCGTCAGTTCTTCATGAAAAAAAAGGGTTTTACTGAGACAGATATGACTTATTCTGCACAGACTATTACTTTCCTCCAACGTCAGCCTATTTAGATGATCGGTGCCTCGTTAGGTTAATCACGATCACGGTACGGACGCGACACCCACAATCTGAATTTAAAGACGCTTTGTAGTCCCTATGAAACTTCCCCTTCACGCGAATCGGTCCATTTATATGTGCCGCTATCCCGCCAGATGAGTTCTCTCGACTTCTATCCGCGACTTATCCGGCTGTCACTCCATTTAGAGATGTCGTAGAAGTAAGTACCGCTCAGGAACCTTTGCTGCATGGTTAACGCAACTCTTAATAACACAGGTCATTTACAACGTCTCCCGGATCACTCTTTTTAACACATTGACGACATTGAGACGCGGTAACGCGTCTCACTTTGCGCACCTCGTTGGACATTGAGACGCGTTACCGCGTCTCACCCTTATCATCCCTTTTTCTAGGGCATGCGCAGCTTTTTCCCGAATTGTTTGTCTCTCTTCTATGGATTAGAACATAACATTATTGTGAACGACATAGGTCATTGTTTGTTCAAATATGCTCCAGTTTAGAAGAAGTTTTCCAAGCTCACCGAAACCGGCGGCTTGGTTCATTAATAGTTTTCATGCTATTCTCATGAACACGTCAATAAAAAAGGGTAGTGAAAGTAAATGCAAATCTAAAGAGACAGAAAAATACATGTTTCACTTGGTATAACCACATCAAAAGAGCTTTTGGCATCCACTACAGATAAAATGACTAAAGTTTCCTTTTTCATTACCATTACATGTTCTTTAATCGGAACTTCGTCACTATATACTCTATTACCTTCTACGCATTGACTGTTACTGAGATGTTTTTGTACCACTGGTGCTTTAAAAAGTTATCAATAAAAATTCACGGATCCGAGGTGCGGCGGTCGCACTCGCAAAATCGGCCCGGTCCCACACGGCCAAAAAAGCCAAAACGCGCGCGGTCGTCAATGGTAGTATTAAACAAGTGACGCAGAATAGGGCTTCCATAACACTCAACGAGACTAATTACGTTTAGCTCATGCATCGCCTGCTAGCAAGTAACTAGTATGCATTAGTACAGGCTCAGGCAAGTTCGTCTCAAACCTGTGAAACCGACTTGACTCAATCTCACTCTACCGAACTACAGGAGTACATCAACCTATCTCTAATTGAGTCTTTTGCCAGTGCATCAATGAATGCTTAAGGCCACATGATAGGTATTGGTGGCTGTTTTTTCCTCGATTCTCTCGCATCCATAAGAATTTACACTTTTTTCGCATTCCAGCTGTTCGAGGGCTCCCTCAAGTTAAACTTCAGAACACTTCCTTTCCGAGCATTCGAGGGTGCTTGCTCATTTCCGAGCATTCGAGGGTGCTTGCTATAATGAGCAAGCACAAAACCAATGTAGATCACTGCGCACGGGAACAAACCCATATCGCTGTCCCCCGGCTTTGCATATCCACACTGCCCCTGCAGAATGTATGAGATAATTCAAAATGGTATTTATACCAGAGAGTATCGGAGGTATAAGTGATATTTTGAATTATCGATGGACATGGGTTTCGAAACAGACACGAGTTTCGAAACAGTTCCCAAGGGCGGAGTCACGAGATCCACCCTCGTGACGAACGCTGGATGAGCTTTCGACATCCAGGTTTTTCTGGCGTCTTCGGAGCGGTTGGCCCTCCCACCCGCCCAAAGGCCAAGGACCTTGGATGGCGAAAGGCACGGAAACTTGGAAACTTCTGGGCGACAATTTCGGTTTTGTGGAAGTTGTATACCCTTATTAACAAGTTCATGTGAACAGTGGAGAATGACGGGAACCACATAGCCCTTTGCTTTTTGCTTTGTCAAAGGATTTTCCAAGTGTCACGACAACGACAGAACTTTCACGTCATATATTACATATGACGGGATAGCAAATGGTTCATAGAAAATAGATCTCTCGAGCTATGCCTTATTATTTCTGCAGTGTACAGCAATAGCGGATACCTCTTAGCTTTATAGCGGAGAAGACAAACTTCGATAGTATACAAAACAGTGATACGTTTTTCATGACTTCTAGATATGGACTGGATAAGGGCGGAAGTGGTGCAGTGACAAGTGGCGCGCTCACCACGCGAGCGGTCCGGGATCAAATCCTGGGTCGTGAGTCGCCCGGGCCAACCAAGCCTTCCATCCCTCCGGGGTCGGTTAATTGGTACCAGACTTGTCTGGGAGGATAAAAACACTGACTTGAACATCGGCTGGCCCCCGCAAGTCATTGTATAGGCCACATCGCATTCAAATGCCACTGCGAATGTACAAATGGAAGTAGAATGCGTGCCGCATCCCAAAAAGGGATTGATCAACGGCAAATGCTTTATCCTTATCCTTTATATGACACTGGTAGCCTAGTTGAGTATTAACCTTTAAAAGAGTGAAGTCTAGCAGTTCAGTAAGTGCAGACGAAAAACGCTCTCGAAATCTTATAACATGGTCTCAATGTGTAGTTTGCATGGATGCTGATTACCAACCAGGTGGTACATAGACTACAAAGTAATAATGATGCTCTCTACGCGTGTAGAGCGAGTATTGTGAATTCGCTTAAGTATCCCGCTATTGCTGTAATGACATGAGGTACACGCCATTGTTCTGTGGGAGGTATTACATATCACAGATCTGGCTCGAATGGGAAATGAATTGAGGTTTTAATATATGGATACTGATTTAACCCAAATCTCAAAAAATACATGACCAAAGGAGTTCGAATTCCTTCATCCACCCAATCGTTTTACCACACGTAAGTTTGCACTTATCGCGAAGTGACTTTGCCTACTATTGCCATAAACTTTGTACTAGGTGTGATTCAATAGTGCTCAGTTGTGTTTGTCGTAGGGTACCATTTCGCATGCGCAGCTCTCCGAAAGCTGAATATTATTGCATAATACCTTAGCATTTTGTGTAATTATCTCATCGTGTGCTCATTCCATACAGATGCATTATGTTTTGAAATGGTCATGTACTGTATATTATAAAATGTATCATGTGTACATGTATATTCGCTCCAACGACGTACACCGAATAAACCCTTCACATCAGCACACTGCCCCTGCGAATGTATGAGATAATTCAAAATGGTATTTATACCAGAGAATGTCGGAGGTATAATATATTAGGATGGTAAAAAAGTCCTGAGCCGATTTTTTGAAAGCTCCAGAACTTTCGCTTATTGGTCGATACCTAGAATCTGCTACGTGATAGACTATCGTTGTCGATCATACTTCTCCGCAATAGGTATATATTGCCGGGTTGCCTTCTTTAACTTTAATAATGATGGTGATTCCACAAGAACACTTTCGAGCGATCATCTTCAATGAATCGCGCTGCGGCACAGGAGCAGTGGGAACCGTCAACATTATCAGCATCGCATTGGGAAGGGTCACCACTTCCATCATCAGTGCCAAGCTCTGGTTCGCAGGCTTCGAGGGAGGAGACACGGCTTTCAAAGAAAAGACAAGGTTGGGAAGCCCACAAAAGGTAGAAGACTCCACCGTTCTCGGCGCTGTCGAAGAGGATCCGGACGTTAGCCCCGCAGCCTTGTGATAAGACTCGGGTGCACCCATCCCACAGTCCTCGGTCCCCTTCACGACCTCGCCACAGGAAAGTGGTGACTCAATGGATTCCTCATGTCTTGACCGATAGCACGCGGTTCAGGCGGGTACCCATTTGTCAGTTTCTCCTTCTTTGCCCGCACCGAAAGGGGTTTTTGGAAGGCGTGATTACGAGAGATGAGAGTGGGGTCCTATACGATTCTAACAAGCACGGTGCCGTGTGGCTCCCTCGAAGAGAGGGCCTGCCGACACAAGCAAAATCGGACCTTCACCCCAAAAGCTGTCTCCTTTGCTACCTCTGGGATTCGTGAGGAATGCTGTACTATGATATGCTCCCGTAAAGACATACCGCTACCGGCAGCATTTACGCCAGTCTGCTCTAGAAACTAGCGGACGCTGTTCAAGAAAAACGACCGAGACGAACTTCTGTCCACCTACTCCACGATGACGCCAGGCCCCACAAAGCTAAAGAGACCCGTGCAGAATTGGAAGAGCTGATCTGGGACGCGGTTCCCCATCAACCCTATTCCCCTTACATTGCCTTCTCTGATTATCACTTACTCTATCCCCTTAAGGGATCCCTAGCGAAGAAAGAATTCACCAAAGGTAAAGAAGTTGGAAGAGCGGTCAGCGATTTCTTTGACTCTCAGTCTGCTCTGTTCTGGGAGAAGGAAGTCGCTGAACTGCACATTAGGTGGGACTCTGTAGTGGGTAGCAATGGTGATTATATTGTTGGGTAGATTCCATTCTACGTGGAATAAAAAAGCAAAGAACAAAAAAGTGTCAAACGGCTCAGGACTTTTTTACCACCCTAATACATAAGTCGATCCGTAAGTTGGGGTAGGCGTGTCACCGGAAGTGACGTGGACTTGATATAGAGGTTGCGTAGGTAAGTCGCTGCCAGCATGCTTTGCTGATATCTCGCGATATATATTGGAAGCACCTTATCCACATAGATTCTATCAAGTACACGTCACTTCCGGTGACACGCCTACCCCAACTTACGGATCTCGAGTATAGTCGTGAAGGGTCGTCAAAATCAGTGCAATTGCGGTCAAGTGCGCGAAAAACGCCGATTTAATTTATTTCTGAAAATTTTCGAAAGACTTCCATTTCAATTGTGATCTCAGGGTTCGTTTGTATACTAGTTGCGGTGGTAATGGTCATGTGAGCAGCTCCTCTCTGTGCCTGAATGGAAGATGTGTCGTCCTTGGTGTTCGACTTCTTCATGGAACGGCACATCATTCTCAAGGAAGAATGGCTTTCAAGTGTGCTGACTTTCCTGGCATCGTTCTTCGAAGTCATAACATGTAGTTTTAGTTTCGTTTATTGCGAGTCAACGAGATGGTATTTTGCAGAAAGATGTCTCAAGGACCCATTGCGGATTGCCAGCTTAGTATTTGAACAGTGGAAATATGCAGACTTGGAAGATTCCACCTATCCTTTATTAAAGCAACTTTCTATAAGTCAAGACACCAAGAAACAGCTCATTACCCATCCCATAGTCCTGCAGGTACGTTTCTCCCTTGCTTATGTTCAGCTTCATTGAACTGTATTGCCTGCTTCCTAATCTGTAAAGTATAGGTTGCGGTGACTAGAGACTTAGGATTATGTTAAACCCTTTATTATCACCTCGCTGTGGTTCAGTGGATTTAATGTGAGGAAATGTGTACACAGAGAAGAGTGAACACCTTTATTGTATGGCTACTAGAGGAGCTATATCGTGTACTGTTTCTGCTTGTATAGTGTGGGCCCGCCCCGGCCAGGAAATGAGGTCGTGAGGGAATCATCGCCAGCGATGCGCAGACGATGAAAAGTAGTGTATACTCGATATCCGAGAGTTGGGGTAGGCGTGTCACCGGAAGTGACGTGCACTTGATAGAAGCTATGTGGATAAGCTGCTTCCAACATACATCGCTGGATATCAGCAAAGCATGCTGGCAACAGCTTATCCACGCAACTTCTATCAAGTGCACGTCACTTCCGGTGACACACCTACCCCAACTTCGGATATCGACTGTAGATGGATGGGACGTTTTAAATGGCTATTAAACAAGTTAAAACGGTCACTAAGGGAGGGGATGGGTGGATAGGATGGATATGTGGTGCTAAGAGCTCGTTTCGGCTACATTAAAGGAAGCAGTCACGCTGGCTTCCACGCTGGATTTGCTACCCTCGCGTTATCAATCGATAAGGTGTGAGGCAGTAATTGTTGGACGAGTGTAAGCCCATGGAAGATATGATACGATGAGATAAGAAGGTGCGGCTGCTTGATAAGAGGTGCACTCCAGAATGAAAACCTTTCCACATCGATAAGTCTTGGTTTTTGCTGACCCGGAAGTGGATTTCGGCGCCTTATCACTCCGTTGATAAGGCGCCACTGCCACTGAAACTTCACGTGTTGTAACATTGGGCAGGACCCCTATCCACTCCAGTACACAGCTTTCCTTATCGTCCCTATGAGAATTATCGTGACCACTTCCTTTGAATATCTCCTCTTCCACTCTCATTTTTTAATCATAAAGGATAAAAGGATAAAGCATTTGCCGTTGATCAATCCCTTTTTGGGATGCGGCACGCATTCTATTACATTCGTAGTGGCGTTTGAATGCGATGTGGCCTATACAATGACTTGCGGGGGCCAGCCGATGTACAAGTCAGTGTTTTTATCCTCCCAGACAAGTCTGGTACCAATTAACCGACCCCGGAGGGATGGAAGGCTTGGTTGGCCCGGGCGACTCACGACCCAGGATTTGATCCCCGGACCGCTCGCGTGGTAAGCGTGCCACTTGCCACTACACCACTTCCGCCCAAATTCTACATGGAAAAATTTGAAAACCCCTATCAAGAGGCAAAGAACACTAAACGTCAACACCAGTGTAGCAACACTGTCAATCCTTGAGTTCGACGGTCAGTTCAAGCACCCTTGCACCCCGAAGATTCCCTTGCCCTGCAAAACTTTCAATCACTGTGGGCAGCAGGACCTGTCCGTAAACGTGCACCTTCCCAACTCCCCCTCACATCTTGGATTAGACCATCTAAACTGCTTGCTAGTAGCGCTCCCTTCCCGGATCTGTATTCCTTGTTAGAAAGGCTCACAGACAACTAGTTTTGTCTCGCTCAGGGGTTTTCCTCTCATTTCATGTCCATTCTCGTCGTGGATTTCTGTTTTTGTGTTTTCTCTTAGCAGCTGCCGATTTCTACCGAATGCTCGGGCTGGTCACTTCTTGGGTACGGATGTGGTTCGCTAGGACAGAAAGCGACGCTCCCTCGTTTTGCAGCGCGGAACATTTTTTCGCTTCAGGAACCTCAGGTCCAAAGATCATGTCTGGACATGGAGTTGCCGCAGCAAAAAATGTTTCACGGAAGTCGCTTTCTATCTTAGCGAACCAATTCCTTGAATAATGTCAAAATCAGGGTTCGTGGTGGAGACAAGATTAACGATTCACCCATTTTTCGATGAAGAGAGCGCATCTGCACAATGTTTTTACAGATTAATTCTGTTGTGGACATTGGAGCTCCATGCCATTCTCAGTTCAGTGCATTAGTTTATGAATTTGTGGATGATACCGGTTTTGAACCTTTACCTGAAATGGAACGAGGACAAGGTCTGGAGAATATTGATGCAGTAAGTTATCAAGCACATCTTGGAGTCTAGTTTTTTTTTTGTCATATGATTGGTGCTGTTTTTAGAAACCTCGTCGAATGCTACAATTCACAGTAAGTGATGGAGAAACTGATTTGAGGGCCATCGAATACTATTCAATAAAGCGCTTCTCTCTGCTCACCTCACCAAGCCTGGATCCAAGGTACACTTTTTTGAAGGATGGCCTAATTTCATTCAGCTGTAGAACCATATTCTGTCTCCTACTCGTGTTTTTTAGATTCTATTGATTCCACCTGTTTCATGCAGAAAGGGAGTGCTTCTATTGAAGCCGGAAAATGTCCAACTTCTAGGTATGCAATGCTTGTATTTATCTGCGCAGTTTTACTGATTATGATGTGAAATGTTAGCTCCGAAATGTTTCTGCTTCGTGTTCCAACGTTCAATGTTCAAGGAGGTGATGTTGAGTCTCTTTTCATGGCTGGGCGACCTCTTCAAGTAATGGCAGAGAAACTGGGCATTACTATACCGAACTCAAAGTAAGTAATTTTATGGAACCAAGTTCTTATTTAGAATTAATAAGGGTTGAATTTGGTAAGTTTTCTTATAATGTTCGAGTTTAACAAAAGTAGACATAAGTTCGTCTATTCCGTGGTGTCTTTGTGCCGTAGAGTTTTTTATTTCGAGCAGTGTACGTTGTAGGAAACAAGTGCCCAGCAGTGGACAGGCTGAACAACGTGCAGAACCTAAACGAGCAAAAACCGGAATAGAAGCAGAAAATGGGCAAGTTATGCATATTCAATTGGTATATAATGTGATTTTCGCTTGTGGAAGTGTCACAATATTGTGTTAGAGTCTTCTTAAATGTGGTGTGCTTTTAAGCAAAGCGAATAGTGCAGCCAAGCCCGTGATAATTCCTACTGGTCCGGAAGCTCCTATTCTGCATGATGAAGATTATGATTTTGATCCCGCTGAATTTGAGCAAGGTCTTTCTTTTCTCTATCGTTTGAATTTGTTATTTGTGTAGGGAATTTTTTGAAAGCACTGCAGAAGAAACGCCCTATGGTGAGGAAGATGTTGATCTACAATCTCGTCACCCAGATGACCAAATTGTTCCTGACAGTCCTTTGCCCGTGGATACGAGAGACAGCTGCAGGTAAGAATTGTCATTTCAGCGTTATTAACACTGCAAAACTTGTGACCTAAATGCTCACGGTAAATCTCCAAATTCAAAATAATGGAACTGACAGTAAGTTTATAAAATATGATAAGGCAGCTGCTTCAAAAATTTCACCGTTCATCCCGTTTCCAGCATAACAGTTTTATTGAGAGCACTTCCTGTCTTGACTTTCACCAAGGAGGTCCAACGAGTCGGTTTGGCTGTAAGAAATGAGGTGTACGCCATTACTTTCCTCTTGACACGCTGAGCTCAGAACTGCTTCTCATATCTGCTCTATCTTTTCTGAACGGAGCTATAAAGCAAAAACTCGCAGTGTTAGTGGTCCGGGCTCACGGGCAGTTCAGGGCACTTCATAGAATTGTATGCCAAACAAGTGCGGGGAAAATCCCTGCTTGACTCCGTTTCAAACATCGTTCGGTAAATATAGAAGGCAGCTCAGAGTTCACGGTCCGGAACGAATAGATTGGTACGCTCCTTATTAAAATACCCGGGCCGTCCTGTTGACCTTCCCGAACAGTATTTCATTTTTTGCGAGTCATTGATGAAGTACGGAAAATTTTAACTTTTTTCTTGACATTTCTTCCTAACCATCTATCCTTTAAATTTGACTATATGCACAGGCTTCTGCACGTGAGCCACTGTAATGAGCAAGATTCAGGTTTTCCCCTGTATTTCCTGCTCCCATATGCTCTGGCGGGCCTAATCATCGTCCTCTTTCAAAGCCTGTGGCGCAGGTTCGTTAACTGAAAGCTACCGTTTTTGTTTTAATTGTGTGAAAATTTGTTTAGATTTCCCCAATGAAGCCTACCAAGAATACATCGAAGGCCAGGTCAACAAAGTCCGCCATGTAACATGGAGCTTGAAGAAACTCCTCCTGATTTTGACGCTGAATTGGTGAATTTGGCTTCAACGAAAACGTGAGGTTCCTCACGAATTGTGACGCTTTTTTGAACTCACAATTGTTGTTTGCGACAAGGTTTCCTCTCTTCTGTTTAGATCTCGCTTGTCATCATCGTCGTCTTCTGACGAAGCAGCCAAATGTACCAGAGCGTCTGCGGTGCTTGCTGTCTCTTTCTCGTCATTTTAATT